GGTGATAAAACTCAAGGGAGCAAGGTCTCTCTTGTGCTGAGTCCATCAGAGCAGACAGAACTCTTAACTGAAGTCTGGAGGAGGCGGCCATTACCATGTGCAGGTCTGGACAGCCAGAGGAAGCTGCAAGGTAATGGTAACTCTGTAAAATCTACAACATTCTAAGGTAAGGAGCCTGTCCTATATTTTAACATCTGATTGGGCACATATATAGAGAGGGATAGATGAATTGTGTTTTACCCATTTATTTTGAATCCCTTACTGCTGTGCTAAAAGCATGCTTGTGAACATTTTCTTTTTCATAAATATTTTATAACTTTTGATGCTGGTAGTGGTTCTCTGTACCACATGGACCTCCAATGTCTTGGACACACTCTTTTAAAAGAAGCAGGCAGTTGGCAAGTGGCTATTCCTCCAGGGGCGCACAATGCAGTAAATGGTCCCCGTGGTGAACAGGCGCTAGGCAGTGGGAGACACAAAGACAAGGCCTCAGCACTTGTAAGGTAAGCTGGGAGTCCTGACCCTTCTAGTGGGCAATTCCTACAGAGGTCAGGTGGTGGTGGGTTACTGGAGAGAAATAAAAGCCTCTCCAGGTGTTGATAAAACTTTGGATGAATGGACGTAAGTTGTTCCCTGAGATCTTCATTCTACTTATCAAAGGGGTAGTGACAGGAGCGTAAACACAGGAGGGAAAGGAAAAAGTTAAGAGTCCAATGGCACCTTTAAGACCAACAAAGTTTTATTCAAGGTGTGATCTTTCGTGTGCACGCACAATTCGTCAGATGATGAAATGGAATTACATATCATACTTGTATATAAAGGAGCTGTTTGTTAAATTAGCATGCAAAATAGTGAGGACACTTTTTTAACAGATCAAATGAAAAGGTTTGTTCTGTCTTGGTTCAGCGGGGGGGGGGGGACAACATAAGTAATAAATATGTTAGACCTGGAGATTGGTGTGCCCTAATGTGTGTGAATCCCCTCCTTAGACCCCATCCATCTCCTTTCAAGCATAGAGGCGAATTTTACAGCATCTTGGCTGTGTAGTGTTTTCCTTCTCCCCAAAGGAAAGGAAAGGTCAGCTTGGCTATCTAGCCATCTGTCTAGGCTAAAGGCTGAGGCAGGAGACAGCACCTTCATTCCCAACATAAAGTACCCATTTTCTGCAGGGTAAGTGTCTTGCTACTAAGGCTGAAGGCTGAGGAAGGAGACAGCACCTTCACTCCCAACATAAAGTACCCATTTTCTGCAGGGTAAGTGGTCTCTGTAGCGTGGAAATAATTTATAATTTGGGGGGATCGCGGGCCCCACCTGGAGGCTGGCAATCCAGTCAAGCAAGACAATGGATAAGGGAATGAATGGGGACAAATTAGACATTTAAATAGGATTGTCCATTGGGTGTTACCCAGTGCATATTCTGTGCAGAGCTGCACCATTTTAAGTCCACTGAACTCATTGGGTTTAGAACAGTATAATGGTCTCAGTCTCTTTGGGCATTCCGGATGATCGCTGTTAAAGCAGAGACTTCAGAACTAGGGCTCACTTGCAGATCTGACTGTGCTTTGAAGGCTGAAAGAAGAATGATGAGTCATCCTGTCATGGTAATTGCTTCCCAATTGGTCCTGCCTTGCTTTGACTTCAGTCATCATTTGGCCTTAATGTTTCAGCAAATGTTTAGGATCCACACTGCATTTGTATTCCAGCAACTAGGCTGCCCAATCCCATTTAGCTTTGGTGATTACCTACCTTGCTAACTTGATTTATTCTCTGCTGTACCTGAACTGACATGTATATATTACCTACACATGGTCCGTTACTCCCTAGAAAAGCTCACACTGCAATAACGATTAATTCTGAAGGTGCTGCAGGGCCCTTTGTTCCAGCATACTAAGGAGACTACTGGAATTAGTCTGTGAGCTGTAAATCAGTCATTCTTCTGGAGTACTGCTGAGGAGCAACTGGGAAAAAAGGCGAGGTACTGTGGGATGTACCAAAATGGGTTACCAACAACCTGGGGGGGGGGGAGAAAGTGCTGCCCCTTTAAGAGGAGTCATGAATGAAGATGGGCAGGTAAATCTCTTCATGGAGGGAATAAAATATCCTGTGAAATAACAGCCTATTAAGAGAGCCAGTTTGGTTAGGAGCGCGGACTCTAATCTGGGAGAACCAGGTTTGCTTCCCCACTGCTTCACATGCAGCCAGCTGGGTGACCTTGGGTCAGTCAGTTCTCTCAGAGCTCTCTCAGCCCCACCTACCTCACAAGGTACCTGTTGTGGGGAGAGGAAGGGAAGGAGATTGTAAACCACTCTGAGACTTCGAGTGAATAGCAGGGTATACGCCAGATCAGTGTAGTGGTTAGGAGTGCAGGCTGGGAGAACCAGGTTTGATTCCCCACTCCTCCACATGCAGCTGTTGGTGTGACCTTGGGTCAGTCACAAGTTCTCTCAAAGCTGTTCTCTCATGTGCAGTCCCCAAAAGAGCTCTCTCAGCCCCAACTACCTCACAGGGTGTCTGTTGTGGGGAGGAGAAGGGAAAGGGGATTGTAAACCACTCTGAGACTCCTTCGGACAGTGAAGGGCAGGGTATAAATCCAATCTTTTCTTCTAAGCCTCTATTATAAGTTCATCAGGTTGTCCACTGTGGCAGCCAACACCCCCTGCTGGTTTTACCCTGTTCGTGCAGGAGAAAAAGAGGTGTGTGTGACTTTGCAAAGGCACAACATCACTTCCAGTCAGTGTGTCTATGTTGCTCTAGGAATTTACTTGATTCCTAGAGCAGCCTGCGGGGAGGCAGTGATGGTGATTGTTTGGAAGTGATATTGCCATGCCAGTGACAATACTCCTTCCCCAAAATCTAGGGTTTTCCAGTGCAGGGCTGACAACCCTACTCTATGAAAGGGGCACGGCATTTTTCTCTGCAAGTTGTTGGCAGCGAGAACAGTATCAAACAACAAAAGCTCTACACTCTATTGCAATGTTTTCAAAATGGATAGCGGAGGCACGTTTATTCTGAATTAACATTTGAGGCATTCTTCAGTATTTATCTGTGGAGCTGTGTTTTTTTTTTGAGGGGGGGCGGCGGATTTCTAGATCAGATCAAGCCTGTACTCTCCCTTGAAGGAAATGACCAAATAGAGGCTATTGTAATTTGGTCACATTATGAAAACAATGCTGGAGAAGTTGAAGGCAGCTGGGAAAAAAGGAAGACCCAACATGTGATGGATTGACTCAATCCAAGGAAGCCATGGCCTTGGCAATACCTGAGCAAGATTGTTATCAAGTGGAAGTTCGGGAGGTGACATTCATTCATTAACCAGGTTTGAGTCCACACTCCTCCACTTGCAGCTGCTGGATGACCTTGGGCAAGCCATAGTTCTCTCAGATGTTCTCTCAAGAGCAGTCCTTGAAAGAGCCCTCTCAGCCCCACCTACCCCACAGGGTGTCTTTTGTTGGGAGGGGAAGGAGTTTGTAAGCCACTCTGAGTGAAGGGCAGGGTATAAATCCAATCTCTTTTTTGCCCTAAATCAGAAGCAACCTGACAGCACTTAACACGCACATGAGCAAGAAGATGAGATGAGATTGGATTTATACCCCACTCTTCACTAGATGACACAAAGCTGGGTGGGACTGCTAATTCTGAAGAAGACAGAGTCAGGATTCAAAATGATCTAGATAGGCTGGAACAGTGAGCTGAAACAAATAAAACGAATTTCAATAGAGATAAGTGCAGTCCTACACTTAGGTACAAAAAAATCAAAGGCACAGACATTGACTGGGAGGGACTTGCCTTGACAGCAGCTCACGTGAAAGGGATCTAGGTGTTCTGGTTGATCACAAGCTAAACATGAGCCTGCAGGGCGATGTGACTGCGAAGAAAGCTAATGCAATCTTAGGATGCATTAACAGAAACATTGTGTCCAGATCATGGGAGGTGGTAGGTTCCGCTCTATTCTGCTATGGTCAGGCCTCACCTGGAGTCCTGTGTCCAGTTTTGGGCACCACATTTTAGGAAGGATGTTGACAAGCTCGAGCGTGTCCAGAAGAGGGCAACCAGGATGGTGAGAGGGTTGGAATCCAAGTCTTATGAAGAAAGGCTGAAAGAGTTGGGTATGTTTAGCCTGGGAAAGAGAAGGCTTAGAGAGGACATGATTGCAGTCTTCAAATATTTGAAGGGGTGTCATGTAGAAGATGGTGCAGATCTATTCTCTCTTGCTCCGGATTGCAAGACAAATATCAGGAAGAACTTCCTAATTGTAAAAGTGGTTGAGCAGTGGAACAGACAGCCTCAGGAGGTGGTGGATGCTCCTTCGCTCCCCCTTGCATAGTCCAGTTTTGCATAGTTTGCAGAAAGCCACGACAGTGAGAACTTTCCTGACCTCCTCAGGCAAACCGTTCTATGTGCTGGCAGTAGGGAGATTTTGCGGGTGGAGCCTGGGGGGGCAGGGTTGGGAGAGGGACCTCAGCTGATTACAATGCTGGTAATGTCCACCCTCCAAAGCAGGCCTGTTCTCCAGGGAAGCAGACCTTGGTCCTCTGGAGATCGACTGTAACAACAGGAGATCTCCAGGTCACACATACACAAAACCTTTATTGGCATTGAAAGCACAAAACATCGTGGAAATACAGGAAAATACTAAGATGTATTAGTCACTTACACTTGGCTATTCAAACCTCGTCTTCTGATTGCATAATATACAATTTTTGCAACAGCCTCCATTATTTCGCAATTAGAATTAAACAGAAGAAAGTAAACAATTGAGTCTTCAGAGTCTAACCAGGTCACACCTGGAGGCTGGCAACCTTAACTGACAGCTGTTGATATATATTTTTTATTTTGCTCATTTGCAGGTTGACACCTGCAGCCTCCTTATCCCAAAAGGATCCCATTTTCTCTGAGAGTTGCACAAATTGGTTACTTTTCGTACTTATTTTCGCGGGGTCCTCGGCGGCCATCAGAATATGTTGCTTCCGAACTTGGGAGGAGGAGGAGGAATCCAGACGATGCCAGCCAGCCAGCACTTGAATGCACCTCCAATGTCCATCTTTCTTTCTCCCTCCTTGCAAGACAAAGGACTCTCTCTTTGAAACGTCGGAACCTTTCTTCCCGCCCTCCGAATTTCTACACGATACAAAACTGGGAAAGGAGGATCCCTCGGTTTCCTGTCCGAACCGAGTCCCTTTCCCCCGCTGGCTTCCGGTAGGCCGAAGGGCTTTAACCATAGAGTTGAAAAGGCGTAGAACGCCATCGCCCTCCTCTACATCCTAAACTGACACTCAGAGCCCAGCGGCACCGTTTACGACCCACACAGGTTCATTCACCCCACAAACAAGCCGCCGTCCCTACCTCGAGCCGCAACGACCGGGGACTTTTCCCTCACAGACGCCCCGCCCCCTCAACGTCCCTAGGCGGTTCTTTGTCCAATGCTGGAAGCGCTCTTTCTCCTCTCGATTGGCGCCGCTCTTTAAACTCTGACGGTCGGCCAATCCCGAGCAAGCCGGAAGAAAAGGGTCCCAACCCACCACTTCCGCTCCCCGTCCTGCACTTCCGGCGCCCTCGCTTTCCCGCCTCGGTCGTGCGCAAACCTGTCGGGGCCGTCTTCCACCATAGAGGCGCCACGGGGTAGAGCGACGCTTATACCATAGAGAATCCGAAGGAGGGGCGCTGAACTGAGCCGCGGAAGCCGCCTAGCGCGCCCCGTCTCTATGGTCCCCCCTTGACGGCTCTTTTCGCCGGCGGCGGCGGCGGCGGCGGTTCCGCGAGGAGTCCGCGTGGGGCTGGGGGCGGGGCTCCGCCTGGCCGAGCAGTTCGAGCGGGCGGCGCAGCGGGTGCCGGCCTTGGCCGCGGTGGCCCCCAAGGAGCCGCTTCTCTACCTGTACGCCCGCTACAAGCAGGTGAGGGGGGAGCTGGAGGGAGGGAGCCGCGGAGTCTTGAGCAAACAGGCTACTTTGCCAGCTGCTGGCATTAAAGTTGTGAGAGGACGATTTGGCTGCTGCCTCCTCAGGGAGTTTGCGCTGGAGCCCTCCTCCCTGAGCGAAGGCAAAAACGTGTGAGCCGGAGGCTTAAAAACGGTGAGCTAGCTTAGAGGGAACATTGCGTCCTCGCGTGGGAAGGGACCCCTGTGGTCCTCCAGCCCAACCCCAAATCCCCCCCCCCGCTTTGTGCCCAGAAGATGATTTTGTCCTGCTCGCCCTCTGAATAGTTGTGACCATTGGCAGGGGTCATTTCCTGCCGAAGCACACAGGAGCAGAGCTCCAGCAGTAAGGAGTCCAGGGGGCAGGCACATGCAAGAAGCAGCCAGGTAGGTTTCAAAGACCCCCCCCCCTTTTCAGGCACAAGCTCTCCCTCCTCCGTGAGGACAGCTCTGCACGTCCGTCCCCCCCAATAGCTAGCAATCCAAAACAGTCCAGTGGAGCCTGAGCGGTGGGGTGTTGCGTTCTGACACACTTCCGGTGATGTCAGGGGATGTGGCATATGCAATAAGTTATGCTAATGAGTTATGCTAATAAGCTCCTGCATCTCTTTTTCTACAAAATGACCCCAACCAGTGTTCCCTCTCAGCTGAGTCAGTGTGAGCCAGCTCACAGTTTTTTTAGCCTCCGGTTCGCACATTTTTTGTCTCACCTCGGGAAGGAGGGTTCCAGAGCGAACTAACTGACGTAGCCACCAAATTTCTCGCTCCCAATTTGAATTCCAGCAGCTCACAAAGTTGCGTTTTTGCTCACGAGACTCCACAGCTTAGAGGGAGCATGGTTGTGATTTGCCCTGGTGAATATCCTCAGGCAGAATACAAATGGGGATCACGGTTCGACGGTATAGAAAACAGTAAGAACTTCGTGAAGCAAGCTAACTTGACAATATACCGTATGTGTTATGATAAGACGACTTAATCCAGCAGGTAGTGGAATTAATAATAGGGATTCGATAGAATTTATGTGAACATATAAGATAGAAGGTATCAGAACGTATTATACCAAGACTGACGTAGCCACCAAATTTCTCGCTCCCAATTTGAATTCCAGCAGCTCACAAAGTTGCGTTTTTGCTCACGAGACTCCACAGCTTAGAGGGAGCATGGTTGTGATTTGCCCTGGTGAATATCCTCAGGCAGAATACAAATGGGGATCACGGTTCGACGGTATAGAACTTCGTGAAGCAAGCTAACTTGACAATATACCGCATGTGTTATGATAAGACAACTTAATCCATCAGGTAGTGGAATTAATAATAGGGATTTGATAGAATTTATGTGAACATATAAGGTAGAAGGTATCAGAACGTATTATACCAAGAGTGAACAATTCAAAAAGCAGTTGATGTCACCCATTCTGCGCATTTAACCACTGCACCAGACTTAAACCCGTCTTGAATTGTGAAGCGGACCATTTGGGAGTGGTAGGAGGCATTGGAGTATTTAATATGCCCTTATGATAAGTGGTATCTGACCAAATTGATAGAAGGTTGTCAGCTCTTGAAAAAGGGTCTCCTCAGAACGGTCCTTATTGATCGTCTGTCGGGATTAGCTTGGGTGGCGATAGATTTCTGCTTGAAGTCCTTGTTCCAAGCACCGCGGGAGATCTACCTGGAGACTGTGCATGTACAGAAGGACTTCTGCTTGCATATTGTGTCTTATGCACTCATCATTAGGTAGTCCTTAAATAGCGGATGGTGATTGCTTTTTGAATTGTTCGTGCTTATATGTTTAGAAACATTTATAAATATATGTCGTTTAGTTTTGTCTTTTTATATCTTAAAACTTAAGCCCATCTTGAATTATGAAGTGGACCATTTGGGAGTGGTAGGCGGCATTGGAGTATTTAATATGCCCTTCTGATAAGTGGTATCTGACCAAATTGATAGAAGGTTGTCAGCTCTTGAAAAAGGGTCTCCTCAGAACGGTCCTTATTGATCGTCTGTCGGGATTAGCTTGGGTGGCGATAGATTTCTGCTTGAAGTCCTTGTTCCAAGCACCGCGGGAGATCTACCTGGAGACTGTACATGTACAGAAGGACTTCTGCTTGCATGTTGTGTCTTATGCACTCATCATCAGGTAGTCCTTAAATTGCGGATGCTGATTGCTTTTTGAATTGTTTGTGATTATATGTTTATAAACATTTATAAATATATGTCATTTAGTTTTGTCTTTTTATATCTTAAAACATCTTCATCATGTTACATGTTAATCTGCCATAAGTTTGAACTCATAGCTTCCTTTCCAATGTATCTGAGGAAGGTTGCCTTGCACACGATAGCTCATCCCTTGAATAAGCCTTTGTTGGTCTTAAAGGTGCCCCCACGGGACTCTGAATTTGTTCTACTGCTTCAGACCAACAGGGCTGCCCACCTGGAACTGTGTTTCGAAATATATGTTTATAAATTCTATTGAGTCTTATTTTTAATTCAATATGTGTTAGCTTAAATTGTTTTATCATAACACACACGATATATTGTTAGTCAGCTTGCTTCACAGTGTTCTTACTGTTTTCTGTCTAATGAATAGCCTGGCACGGGGGAATACCTCTCAACTGAGATTTGCACTTCTCCTACCCCCTTTTCGGGATACCAAGTTCTAACCTTAGTTGATTCCTGTCAACCCCACTGCACCTTCCTCATCTCTGGCTCCTGCAGTCCTCCCCCTCCTCAATATGTGTTAGATTAAATTGTTTTATCATAACACACACGATATATTGTTAGTCAGCTTGCTTCACAGTGTTCTTACTGTTTTCTGTCTAATGAATAGCCTGGCTCGGGGGAGTATCTCTTAACTGGTTTAGTCGCGATCCAAGAGATTTGCACTTCTCCTACCCCCTTTTCAGGATACCAAGTTCTAACCTTAGTTGGCTCCTGTCAACCCCACTGCACCTTCCTCTTCTCTGGCTCCTGCAGTCCTCCCCCTCCTTTTTATCTTTCATCACCTACACTGCTGATGCCCTTGATGTGCAGGGGTGGTGTTTTTCTGGAGTTGCTAACAACAAGGCAGATCTCTGCCCTGAAGAGCTAACAAAAGATTAAATCTACAGGAGTATATGGGAAATCATCATCAGCGTTATTCCTTATTTTATAATCTAGTTTTATCCCCAAGACAGAGCTCGCTTGCCAGATGTACATGGTGGGTGTGTGCCTGAAAGTTTCATTCTGGCACAACTTTCATGAACTAGAACCCTCCTTAACAGATGCACGTGGTGAGGTTTCGTTTGCGGAGTGAAGTGCCACTTCATGCATCTGATGAAGCAGGCTCTAATCCACAAAAATTCATGCTGCCGCTGGAAAACAAATGTGTGAGTCTTTAGGGTGCTGCTCCACTGGTTCCAGTGCCATGCACTTACAAGGGTAATCCTTCGAAATCTACAATTTGACACTGGAGACAGTAGAGGGGGAGGGTCAAAGAAGAAGGCATGCTGAGAACATAAGATTTGTATCAGGAGGGGGATCGGGCATGTGGGCTTGGAAGAACACAGCTGCCACATTCTTTAGTGATGTAGTGGTTAAGAGAGTGTGGTTAAGGTTTAGTGGTGTCGTGATTAATACCAGCGAACTCTAATCTGGAGATCCAGGTTTGATTCCCCACTCCTCCACATGCAGCCAGCTGGGTGACCTTGGGTCAGTCACAGTTCTCTTAGAGCTGTTTTCTCAAGAGCAGCTCTCTCAGCTCCACCAACTTCACAGGGTGTCTGTTGTGGGGAGAGGAAGGGAAGGAGATTGTAAGCCACTCTGAGACTCCTGAGTGAAGGGCAGGGTGTAAATCCAATCCTCCCCCCTCGAAAGTAGCAGTTCGAAAGCAGCATATCCACTGTCCATGTTACCACATCTAGTTAATTTACTGTGTTTGATGGTGGAAAGTGCCATCAAGTCAAACCCTATAGAATTTTCAAAGCAAGAGACAAATAGAGGTGGTTTGATGCCATTAAAGGTATTTGACTTTGAGATGGTTTGCCATTGCCTGTCTCTGCATAGCAATCCCCAACTTCCTCGGGGGTCTTCCAGACAAGTACTAACCAGGGCCGACCTGGCTTAGCTTCTGAAATCTAATGAGATTGGGTTAGCTTGATCCATACAGGTCTAGTGTTTAGATACTAGTTTTCTGCAGATTTTCTCAATGCAGTTAAGGTTTAAAATAAATAAAATCAGAATGAAACCCCTGTAAGCTAGCATTGAGCATTTTGTTTAGAATTTCCATTTAATTTTAAATAAGATTTAGGGCTTTCTAGTTTTGTATTCCAATCTTATTGCATTGTTTGTCTTGTATTCTTTATTGTACTGCTTTTTATGTTTTCTATTCTGCCTTAAGTCCGGGAAAGGTGGGTTATAAAGTAAATAAATAACCTTTAATGGACAACAATAGAAAGAGCTGCAGTCAGATTAATAACTGTAGTGTCAGTGTCTGAAAGAAGAGAAATAGCGGATAGGAGAGGACACCATTTGTATTTCAGAAAGGACAAGTGTGATTTCATTAGGAAAGCAAAACTTTGGAAGTCTTGAATACATTTGCTCCAATGAGGAGTCATCTCTGTGCAAATAACAGTTCTGGTTAGATATGCCCTCCCCCTCTAGCAGCCTCACATAGCACTTGAAGTTCTAGTAGCTGAGTACATAGAAGGAAACTAACTCTTTATTTTATCTAATTCAGTGGTACCCACTCCGTGGCTCATAGAGAAAGACGTTCCACTTATCAACCAAAAAGAGCATTTACTTTCATACCTGCCACATGGCTTACCTGTTCCCATGGCAGCAGCTGTTTCAAGGTGGGAACCACCTACCAGCCACAGGACTTACCAGGCCTTCTTTAGTGAAACATGCGGCCGGTGCCATATTGAGGAACAATGCTCAGAAGAGCCACAGGTGGCATGTCAAAACCACTGAGTGAGTATTGGTAATCAGTTGCTTGTTGCTTCCC